TTATTTATAGTTAGATAATTATTATTAGAGAATATTATTTTTGTTAGGTTATTAATTAGTTTCTTATTTTATTTAGTTTCCTTTTAGAGATTGGATTCCCTTAGGCTTTTAGAGTTTCACTCTATATATTGAGATGTATTGCTTTAGAATTAAATCAATAAAGAACAATCATTTTCCAACCCTAATCTCTTCCTCTTATCTCTCGTTCTTCTCTTCCGCTGAACAAAGTGTCGCGGTTCTCTCCCTCTTCTAGTCTCTTTTTCTCTTGGAGCTTGAAGAACGCTCGAAGTTCTTCCCTATCCCGATACGATATCGTATCAGATGATTGATGGACAAACCACTCTTTGTTGGTCTCTTGGATTCGGAACACGATCGATCCAGCCTTGAGATCCAGTATTTCTTTTGTGGAGAAGGCATCAGCTCTGTGGAGTGATCTGAAGGCTCGCTTCTCTGTCGTTAACGGACCCAGGGTTCAGCAGTTGAAGCGGGATTTAGCAGAGTGCAAACAGAAGAACCTTTCGTGATGGATTATTATGGAAAAATGAAGAAGCTGTGGGATGATCTTGCAGATTTAGAACAATTCCCAGTCTGCATGTGTAGGAATTGCACGTGCAACTTGCACGAGAAGCTAGCGCAGATGCGTGAGAAGGAACATTCTCATCAATTTCTGATGGGACTGAATGATGAGTTGTATGGGACTTTGCGGTCGAACTTGCTTGCCCAAGAAACCATACCACCTGTGGCAAGAATATACAATATTCTTGTCCAAGATGAAATATCACGTAATGGGATGCACAAAGGAGAAAGCAAGGAGGCAGGTGCGTCTGTGTTTGCTGTGAAGAACAAGATGGAGGCCAAGGAGCTTGTGTGCTCTCACTGTGGCAAAGGAGGACATGATGTTGAGGGATGCTACAAGCTCATTGGATACCCGGAGGGATGGATATTTCGAGACCTGGCTGGAAAAGCTCATTGGATACCCGGAGGGATGGATATTTCGAGACCAGGCTGGAAGAGGAAGAGGGAACAATCGTGGGAGAGGAAACTTCCGCGGTCCAGGAAGAGGAGCGGGACGGTCGACCGTGGGTGCTGGACGGTCGACCGTCACGGGCGGCCGAAGTGAAGTACATGCAGTGCAGGGCGAAGGGCCGTCTCCACTGCCCAATTTTGAGGATTTGACGTCTGAACAGTGGAATGCTGTTCGTCATGCTCTCTCACTCTCTTCCACCGATAATTCTCAAAAACTCTCAGGTATTCTTGTATCACCTCGTTGGATAATTGATACTGGTGCGTCCAACCATATGACAGGTGATCTATCATTATTATATGATGTGGTGGGAGTGTCCCCATGTGAAATTGGTTTGCCTGATGGAAACCGGGCTGTATCCGTTCAATCTGGAAAAGTTGACTTAACAATGACTATGACTTTACAGAATGTGTTGTTTGTTTCAAGTTTGAATTGTCATCTGATTTCTGTGTCACAGCTGACAAAGGATTTGAATTGTGAGGCGAAGTTCACCAATGATTTGTGTGTCTTACAGGACCTAAGATTGAGGACAATGATTGGTGTGGGTAAACAAGAAGGAGGACTATATTATCTAAAGAAGGAGGAAAGGAGAATGGCGTGCAGTGCTACGAAGGAGAATTCTTTTGATCTTTGGCATAAGCGTCTAGGACATCCTTCTTCACATGTTTTATCCTTAGTTCCTGTAGTTGGATCGAATAAGAGTAGTCATAGTCATTGTGATATTTGTTTGCGTGCCAAACAAACTCGTACCAGTTTTCCTATTAGTTTTAATCAATCTATGGATAAATTTGATATGGTGCATTGTGATTTGTGGGGTCCCTATCAGACGCCGAGCTTTGATGGATCTACGATGTTTTTGACTATTGTGGATGATTTTTCTCGTGGTGTATGGGTGTATTTGCTTGACTCTAAGCGTACTGTAGGAAGTGTCTTCAAACAATTTTGTGCCATGATTGAACGTCAGTTTGAGAAGAAAATAAAATGTGTTCGTAGTGATAATGGGACAGAATTTGAGTGCTTGAATGAATACTTCCAAGAAAAGGGAATTGTTCACGAGACATCCTGTATGTCTACACCACAACAGAATGGTAGAGTGGAACGTAAGCATCGGCATATTCTGAATGTGGGTCGTGCCCTAAGGTTTCAAGCCGATCTTCCGATCGAATTTTGGGGAGATTGTATCCAAACTGCAGCCTATTTGATCAATCGGACACCCTCGTCGTTGCTAGGGGGGTGACACCGTACGAGAAGCTTTATGGAAGGTCACCGCCGCTGACTCACATTCGTGTCTTTGGTTGCAGATGTTATGTCCACAATTTGAAGAGAGATGGAGACAAATTTGCACCCAGAAGTATTCTTGGAATATTTTTGGGTTATCCACAAGGAAAGAAGGGATGGCTTGTTTATTTTCCAGACACCGGAAAGATCAGTGTGTCTCGTGATGTTGTGTTCTGTGAAGATATTTTCCCTTTCTTATTTTCCACAGGTGGAACACCCAGAGAGGATGCATTAAGGAGCAACTCAGCCACCGATTACTTTGAAGATGCTGAGGAACTATCCACGGAGGACCATCTGGACCGTTCCTGGAGGAACGGTCGCCTGCCGGGCAATGGAGATGCAGAGGAGCTACAGACGGTCGACTCAGTGGACCGTGCCGATGACCACGGTCGACCGTCGGGAGGGCAGAATGACGGATCCTCAGGAGAAGATCCAACGGTCGACCGTGCCATGGAGGACGGTCGACCGTCATCGAGGCAGAAACTTGACGCACCAGCACAGCTACAGACGGTCGACTCCGTGGACCGTTCCACGGATGGCGGTTGACCGTCCCCGAGGCAGAAACTTGATGAACCAGCGATGCTGCAGACGGTCGACCCCGTGGACCGTTCCACGGATGGCGGTCGACCGTCCTCTTCCCAGCAAACAGTAGAGACTTTGGGGCGTAGTCAGAGGGAAAGATGCCCAAATGTGAGACTTGCGGACTATGTTACACATGTCACTGGACCACACAGTGGAGAAAGATGCAGATATCCACTCTCTTCGTATGTCACGTATGAAAAGTTCTCTCATAAACACAAGTGTTTTCTCACGGCACTTGATGAGGAAGTGGAGCCCACAAATTTTAAAAGGGCATTTCAAGATGAGCGATGGCGGAAGGCTATGCGGGAGGAGATTGATGCACTGAAAGCTAATGGGACGTGGTCGCTGGTTGCTCCTCCACGTCATAAAAAGCCCCTGGGCTGCAAGTGGGTGTACAAAATCAAGCGCAAGTCTGATAATAGTGTGGAGAGGTATAAGGCGAGATTGGTTATACTGGGCAATCATCAGGTTGAGGGACTTGACTACAAGGAAACGTTTGCTCTTGTGGTCAAGTTAACTACAGTACGCACTCTTCTAGCTGTTGCAGCTGCGAAGGGTTGGGAGTTGCATCAGATGGATGTACACAATGCTTTCCTTCATGGAGATCTTGAATATGAAGTGTACATGAGACTGCCACCAGGTTTTTCTAATTCTTCTAATGTAGTGTGCAAATTGAAGAAATCTTTGTATGGTTTGAAACAAGCTCCAAGGTGTTGGTTTGTCAAGTTGTCTGGAGCTTTGAGACGCTATGGGTTTGTCCAGTCTGTTCCTGATTACTCCTTATTTTCTTTCGTTGGAAAGAAAGGAGTCATACATGTTTTGATTTATGTTGATGATTTGATTATTGCTGGAGATAATTCAGATATGGTGAGCAAGTTCAAGGCATATCTAGGGGATTGTTTTCATATGAAAGACTTGGGGACACTGAAATATTTTCTTGGCATTGAGGTGGCGAGAAGCACGTCTGGGATATTTCTCTGCCAACAGAAGTATGCTTTGGATATCATTACTGAAGCTGGATTGTTAGGTGTCAGGCCGTTAGGTGCACCCATGGAGCCAAATCATCATTTGGCTCGTCCCCAAGCTCCCCTTCTGACAGATCCGGAACCATATCGCCGTTTGGTGGGACAATTAGTATATTTATCTGTTACACGACCAGAGCTTTCTTATGCAGTACACACTTTAGCACAATTCCTGAAGGAACCTAGGGAGGATCACTGGTCTGCAGCACTTGGAGTGGTTCGTTATTTGAAGGGATGTCCTGGGCAGGGTATTTTCCTGTCTGCAGATAATAATCTTCAGCTCACAGGATGGTGTGATTCGGACTGGGCAGCATGTCCCTTAACACGGCGATGTCTAGGAGTTGAACATACGAACCCTATGACTGTTCGTTGTGACAGCACTGCAGCTCTTCATATTGCGGCTAATCCAATTTTTCACGAACGCACGAAACATATTGAGATTGATTGTCACTTTATTCGTGATGAACTTTTACGAGGAGAGATTCGCGCGTTGCATGTCCCTACTACGCATCAACTCGCAGATATTCATACGAAGGCGCTTGGGAAGTCACGACTGGAGTTTCTTATTTCCAAGTTGGGCATTTCAGCATTACATGCTCCAACTTGAGGGGGGGTGTAAAAGGAAAGAATATATTTAGCATATATTCTCGTATATATTAGTAGTTTCCTTGTATTAGTAGTTTACTTGTATAGAGATTTCCTTTCCTTGTTTGAGTGAGGATTCTCGGCTTGTAAGAATCTATATATACGTGCCTTGGTTGTAAATTGTAATCATCAGAAATACGAGAGAAATTTCTCCCAAATAATTCTTTCACTTCTTTATTCTACTACGCAATTAAAACAATTGAAGAAAAAAAACAGTTGGTCTGTATGGGTAGCTAAACTGGTCCAAACAGAAGATAGTACGTTCATTGATCCTAGAATCGAATCCCGGCAGCGGTAATGTGAGAGTTCTATTCTTTATAAAGAAATCACTCTAAATAGGACTAAACATAGAAAAAATACCAAAATATGACTTTCATGTTTTTTCTTGAAATATGACTTTGCATTGTGGTTTTGTGGCATTGTACATGTGCACATTATTACTATACTTTTTTGATAATGTACATGACCATATTTGGTAATGTAAACGCATTTTAAGTCCTATTTCGGGAATAAAAACATGGAACTCCTATTTTGGTATATTTTTGATGTTTTAGTCCTATTTTGGTCTTTCTCCCTTATTTATAATAGCTCTTTGTACACATCGGGCACGTACGCGGCGGTCTCTCTGATAACCAGATCAAAATTATACTCCCTCCGTCCCAAAAAGATTTACACCTTTCAAAAAAATAGTGTCCCACAATCTCCTACTCATTTCTATTAAAAAACCACTTTTACCCCTTACTTTTTCAAACCCTACCTATCACATCATACCTTTTTCCTAATAATCTACACATCACATCCTACTTTTATCCATCACATCAAGGGTATTTTTGGAAAGTCAACACAAAAATATCTCTCCCTTAATTTCTACTTTAGTCCAAATGGGTAACACTTTATGGGACGGAGGGAGTATCATAATTTACTCCCTCACTATCCTGTCGGGTCAGGGTGTGGGGGCCTCTGGGATGGGCTTTCCACCTTCTTTGAAAAAAAAAAACAGGGGAAATAATTAAAGCTTCCAATTGCATGCAGATAGCTTGAGTATCACGGAGTCTTTGGTAAACGAAGAATGACAATTCTACACAAGGAATCCTAATGATTAAGTATTACCGTGTGTGTATAATCAACTTTTAAAAAATCACAACTCCTTTTCTTGCCATTAATTACTTTTGACTTATTATCAATTTAATTTGGATCTGGAAATTTATTGTCAATGCCAATAAATAGGGTGATAAAGAATTTTTTATCACCCAAAAAACACACTAAATTATTAGCTCTATGAAACACTAGTTATAGAGTTTTATCATAAATATATTTAGTACTTTTGACTTAGCTTAGTATCAATTTAATTTAGAGCTGGAAATTTGGCATTGACATTTTATAGTACGTGTGTTAATATTATTTGACACCATCTATAAGTCATATCTTGGTATATAAACACGGAATTTGAAATTTTTATTTTCATAAATGAATAATGTTTTAGCCCTAGTTACGCTACTTAGGTATTGATGAAATAATAATATGTACGTAGTACTACGTAATAAATTGAAGCTAGGTAATCTCACGTAGTATTTCCTTTAACCAGTGGCAATTCAATGTGATGGTGGCAGAAAGTGTGGGAATTGAATATGCAATGTTAAAATGATGACATATAGTGAATTTCTATTTGAGTCATAAAAATATATGGCTGTATTCCTTAATACTTTGATATTTCCACTATATTCTGCTCCTCTTTAATGAGTATTGTATTTTCAAAATATCGTAAATCATTTTTTTGCACCAACAACAAACACAGTATATACATATTCCCTCGGTTCCACCGGTGGAAAGACGTTTCGCTTACAACGACATGCATGCTGACAATGTCCGAAAAGCAGTGGCCGGCTAGTGGCAACACATCCTTAATGGAAAGTTTTTTGGACCGGAAGGAATATATATGATAAAGATAGAGGTTGGAGCATCAAATCTCTACTGAACTGTTTTTACATCCCATATTTGCTTCTAATAGAAATATATGCAGTGATAGAGGCTAGGCTAGGGCACATAGAAAAATACTCCCTCCCACCCTCCAATTCTTTTTGACTTGGCACGACGATTAAGTAAAATAAAAAAAAAGTAAAGACTTTTCATATTTGTCCTTGACGCGATGGAATAAAATGAACAGTGCAGATAATACTTGCGGGTATAATGCATGGCACATTCATTAAAATTTTGTAACCAAAACGAGAAACGGAAAAGAAATTATTGCTAGCTATATGTGTATATATAGTTAGCAACGGCGGTTTCCTTTGGGACAGGTAGGTAGCTAGCCAAGAGCACCGGCAGAAGTAGTGATGGCTGGCAACATGGAGATTGGCTTTGCCTCCAAACTATAAGCCCTGGAATATGAAGTTGAAGTGCCAGACTGTGTGAAGTATGCCCCATTCAGCATAAGGTCCCCTTCTGATCTCCAGTTCCAACTCTTCAACTCCCACACATTTGCATTATTCCTTTTTGTCACCTGCAAACAACAAAATTAAAGTTATTATCACTATACACCGCCGCGCGCGCTTTTAACCATCAGTTCGCTCGTCATCGGTTTGCGTGTGTAAAATCTTACACGGTTAACTAATAATGCATGCGTACGTACATACCTCTTTGGCATTGCGGTCGTTAGGGGCGAGGAACCGGTTGCCTTGGGAGTTGATGGTGGGACTGGCACTGCCGCCGATGGCATACATCTCCCAATGGGTGTAGTCATTGTTCACCACATGGAAGTAGCCGTGCCTGCACCTTGGCATTCTCTGTATCAGACCTTCCCCAAAGTGGTTGAAGGCTATTGTCACCTGCATGTTCTTGTCTTTTGTGTATGAATCCGAGTGCCCTAGCAGCATCACCTGTGCGCTTTTACAAATTAGTTTGATTGTGACACAATTTGATTATTCTAGCACCATCACATGTTCATTAATTAGTCTTATCGAATAAGGAAGGATTACGTCTAATATATATATATATATATATATATATATATATATATATATATATATATATATACATACATACTCCCTCCGTCCCATAAAGATGGGTACGTTTTGACTAAAGTAGAAATTAAGGGGGGATAATTTTATGTTGATTTTCCAAAAATACCTTTGATGTGATGGGTAAAAGTATGATGTGATGTGTAGATTATTAGGAAAAAGGTATGATGTGATAGATAGGGTTTGAAAAGTAAGGGGTAAAAGTGGTTTTTTAATAGAAATGAGTAAGGGATTGTGGGACGCAATTTTTTTCAAACGTGTAAATCTTTTTGGGACGGAGGGAGTATATGTTAATCATCTTCACTCTTCGGTGCTACCATTGTCAATCATCGTCACTACAATGACATTTTTTTTCTTCAAACGACAAAAAAGGACTTTGAACATAGTGGACAATCTCCATCCGGTAGAGGACACTATTTGATAAGATCGAGGACGCTGAGATCGCAATGACAACATATGCAATGGATCATACAATGGACATTATAGAACGGTTAAAATGTTGTGGATATTCTCATTTTTCTTTAGGAATATAAAGGCTCTGAACATAATGGCTAATGTCCATCCGGTTGAGGATATCATTGGAGTTTAAAGGCGGAGGTGGTGACTGGCGGTCAATAATGGACATTAATGGGTTGTGAACTTGTGATTGATGACAAGGTGGTTGCGAGATAAAGTTATAAATTAGGGTTTGAAACTCTAAAAAGATAGGCAGTATACTGCCAGGTTAGGGAGGGGGTGGGAGGGGGGCTAGGGTGGCGGGGCTGGGGTGGGGTGGAGGGTAGGAAAAATTATTTTTACAAACGGAGCACCGTAGGTACTCCAAATGAACTGGTGTAAACAACTGGTGTATAAGTAAGTGGTGTCATTTTAGACGTTTCCTGGTATAAACAATTAATCAATTGTTAAATAATTACTCCGTATATACTCCCTCCATCCCAAAAAGATTTACACGTTTGAAAAAAATTGTGTTCCACAATTCCTTACCCATTTCTATTAAAAAACCACTTTTACCCCTTACTTTTTCAAACCCTACCTATCACATCATACCCTTTTTCTAATAATCTACACATCACATCATACTTTTACCTATCACATCAAGGGTATTTTTGGAAAATCAACACAAAATTATCCCTTCCTTAATTTCTACTAGTTAGAGAAATAAAAATATATCGTCCTATTTTTAAGAAAATTAGTATGTTTTGATCCTATTTAAGTAATTAAATTTTCTCTAATGAATGTGATACAAATGAAACTAACCTCGTTGTGGCGGGAGAAGTAGTTGTTGGAAATGGTGATGGCGGTGGACCCCATGATCGCATCGACTAGTCCATCAGCACAGTTGGAAAGAGAGTTGTGGTCGATCCAAATGTTAGTGGCCCCGAAGAGCGAAATGGCATCCCCGTCCGCCATCGTCCTCCACCCGAAATGGGTGGTGGAGCTCCGGACCATGGCGTTCCCCGTGGGCCGGCAGCCGTGGATGTTCAACCCGTGGATGATGACGTTGGTGACGTACTGGAGCGTCAGGCACGCGCCGTACGCCACGTGTACGTGGGCCCCGCGGCCGTCGATGGTCTTGTGGCTGTTGATGATCAGCTCCTGCTTCAGCGTGATGAGCATGTCCCCCTTGAACACGATCCACAGCGGCTCCTCCTGGATGACCGCGTGCCGGAGCGTGCCCGGCCTGGGGCTCACCGGGTTGTCGTCGCCGGAGTCCGTCACCACGTAGAACCTGCCTTCGCGGCCGCCGGTTGCCCGCTGGCCGAATCCCATGCCGCAGTCCGCCAGCCGCTTTCGGTCTCTCCGCCACATGCGGTTGGTGCGCCAGCAGTCGTCAATGGGGTTCCCTGTTGGGGTGTAGTATTGGTTGTTTCCTCCCATCAGTTTCCTCCTCGCCGTAGCATTTCGGATTTTCCTGCATATATAAAAACCCAAATTTAGTCACTCACATCAATTTCAAGTCCTACTCCTACCTCCCCTTTCACAGTGTTTGTGTTTGAGGTGCTATGTTATAAATTTGGATATATAAAATTATTATAAATACATTTTTTAAGTTGTTGAAAAAAACTGAAAGAATAAGAATGAACTGGAAGAAGTTGAAAAAACTATATCTGTTTCACATTGTCAAACCTTAACCGTGTTCTTTATTCAAATTCGCTACCCATTTGAGAAAATAATACGGAGTATAATCTTATCACTTCTTGTTTTATAGAACTTTTTATACTTCCTCCGTTCTATAAAAGTGTTCTTGTTTTGACTTTGTATAAAAATAAAGAAGTATTAAATTGTAGTTGATTTCCAATTTTGCTGTTCTTTATTCAAATTCGCTACCCATTTGAGAAAATAATACGGAGTATAATCTTATCACTTCTTGTTTTATAGAACTTTTTATACTCCCTCCGTTCTATAAAAGTGTTCTTGTTTTGACTTTGTATAAAAATAAAGAAGTATTAAATTGTAGTTGACTTCCAATTTTGCCCTTGATGTGATGGGTAAAAGTAAAATGTGATGAATTAAGTATTAGAGAAAAAATATGATGTGATAGGTAGGGTATGAAAAAGTAAGGGTAAAAATGGTTTTTTAATAGAAATTGGAAGTGTTTTGTTGGAAGTAAAAAATTAAAGACGAAGAGTTTTTGAGAACGGAGGGAGTATAATTTTAAAATTTATAAAAATGAGAAATTTTTATATGTAGGTTAAGAATTACTATAGGTGAAAGTGACTTTTTAATACTCTCTCTGTCTATCATAGATCTTCTCAGATACTATTCACATGGTCAAACTTAACTCACTTTGTTTGCTTTAATTTAACCATTCATTTCATAAAATAAAATAGTATTGTCACCTTTAGTTTTGTAGAACTTTTCATTACTTTTTTACTATATAAATTTTATTTTTAAATTTTATCTTTACAATCAAATAAATTGAATTGAAAATAAAGTCAGTCAAATCTTATGATGCGCAATGAGAAGATCATTAGTAGACGGAGGGAGTATAAATAAGATTTTTTTGAGAAAGGTGAAAAAAGAAAACAGAAAGGTTTTCAAGTGAGGTAGCTTAGATGATTGAGAGATAAGTGACAAAGAGAACAAATCTAAATTTGACTCCGACAACGACTAAAAAGAAATTTTTTCAAAGAGTGCTTGGAGAAGAAAAAACTTCAAAGTAATTAACTTGTAAACTACGTTCATAGTTTATGCTTTTAAATCCTTAGCTAAAAAAACAATATTTTTGTTGGTTACTACGGAGTATGTGGAAAGACACATTTAAGGGCCTGCGTTTTTGTTTTAAGCCCATAAATTTGCGAGACAATTCTGTTATCTTAGCCCAATTGAAAGACTCAATTTTATCCACTCGTGCAAAATAACCAAGTACTCCGTAATCAACGAATCAAATATCTACTCCCTCCGTCCCTAAATATTTGCCACACTTGTATTCCCGAGGTAAAATATCAAGATTTTTCAATTCGTTTTATTTATATATTGGTATAAAAATAAAAAATAAAATTTACATATCAAAAAATTACATGAAAAACTATTTGAAATAAGAGGTGTCAAAAATATTTTATTTTATCAAATAACCAAAGAAAAAGTATAAATAAACAAAATTCCCGTGACTGCTAAAAAAGCAAATGTTACAAATATTTTGGGACGGAGGGAGTATGAGACTATGACTATTAATTAACAACTACGGAGTAAGAAATGGCGAAAAGTTTAAATGTTTATTTAACTCCGTATTCTACTTTTTTTTTTATTTTATTTTTATCAAAGATGTAACAATTATCTAGAATTTGATTTTTTTAAAAAAAAAAAAAACTATTACAGTGCCTTACCAGTCTTGCTTTTGTTTTATTCCAAGTCAAAAATTTAATTCCTTTGTAGAATTGTTGTAGGTGTACTATACAAAAAGCATCAACTTTTGTCACCGAAATACCCGACCTCATAAGAAGACCTAACAGGTCCAAATCTAGTACACAATATCACGATCTGTTGCGCAAACGTATCGATCGGAAAATATTTTTTTAAAATGAGTACTGGTACAATACTATGGATCAGCTCGAATCGACCCATTGGCAAACATACTTGAAGCCCACAAATAATGGGAGACAAGGATGTGGTCATGATAGGGCTCAAATTTTTCGGTAGCTGGACTCATTGATGATCATGTGAATAACAAATAATCAAGATCTGGTGGAAAATGGCATGGTTTGTTCTTTTAATCTGTGATCGACCTAAAAACGTTGGTCCAAGATCGACCGAAATGACTTGCTAAAAATGGGTCAAATCGCACCTGAACTCGAATTCGATCTAACCCACACAGTAATGTAAGAATTTTTTTAAATTTTACCATCACTCAAATCTCGAATTTAAATTTTATCATCACCCAACTCTAAAAAATTAATGTTCGCATGTAAAGCTTCAATCACAAGTTTAAACTTTTGGTTATGCCTTATTTGCACTATTTTTGAGTGTGGTTGACCATAAATTGGATTAAGATTAACTAATTAATGACAAAAAACACAAAATATTAATATTCAGGCAGCATTCCGTTCAACTTATCTTTTCTGCTTATTACTTATTTATATTATAATCAGATCAGAAATAGCTCTAAATCCAACTACAATTAGATCAGATCAAATCAGATCAAACCAAATTTGACCAGAACAGATCAGATCAGAACAAATCACACCAGATCGGATCTTCAAAAAATCTGATCAGATCAGGCAAATGAAATGAAATGCAGAGGAACTTAATAAATTAACTACTCACTCTTGAACCATTGATACAATTTCCTCTGGATCGTCCACAGCATGCTTGTGAATGGATTCAAGATGTGCCTTTACCCTGCAAATTAAAATACAGTGGGTCAACATATACACTCTTCGTCCCTAAATATTTGCCACACTTGTATTCTCGAGGTAAAATATCAAATTTTTTCAATTCATTTTATTTACATATTGGTATAGAAATAAATACAAAATTAACATATCAAAAAACTACATAAAAAATTTTTCGAAATAAGAGGTGTCAAGAATATTTTATTTTATCAAATAACCAATGAAAATGTAGAAATAAACGAAAATTCCCGCAACTGCTGAAAAAGCAAATGTTGTAAATATTTCAGGACAGATGGAGTATATATAAACAACTTTTCCCTGGCAAAATAGAGACACTGTATCTATCATAATATCATATCATTGATGCATCACTTCATTTGGTATTTAGGTCATCTCAAATAATGAGAATGTTGAGAAAGCCTAAGAAAGAATTTTAAGACTTTCTTCTTCAGAATTCACTATTAGGGAAGATTCAAGGTCGGAAAAGTTTGGAACGAAGCCTTTGAATTCCGAGACTCATTTCCGAGACTCTTAATATAATTATTCCAATAAAAATATTCACTAGTTTAAAAATAAAAAATGTTAAAAGCGTAAAAACCAAAAACATTTGTTTTGCCTTTATTTTTTATGTTATGTAACTAATTTTCATTTTATGTGTATTTACTTATGTAATTTTAATGAAATGTACTGTTTTACTTTATATGATTTGTGTGTAAACTTTATGAATATAACTTTTCAAATTTTTAAAAATACTCTATTGAGTTTTTTCATTATTAGTTATAATTAGCTATAAATAGATTTTGTAGAAAAATGAATGTACTATACATTTATACATTAGACAATTAATTTAATGGAAATAAAGTTCATATGAATAAAAGATAGGAGAATGCTGATGTTGTAAAAAATGAAAGAGTCTATGAATTGAAGTATATTTTTTGAAAGTCTAAAGAAAAGTTTGAAATAGTTGAATGCTGATGTAACAGAAGGCTATGCTCTTAAAAACTTCGTTTGAAGTAAGAAAGAAATATTACTCGCCTCTCATTCCACGATGTCGAATTGTTCTTCAAGCTCCGAAACTCCGATATCTTAGCACTGGAATTGAAGAGAAATGTAACATGAATTATTTTGAATTAGAAAAATATAAAAATATATACACACACAAACGCGCACTCTATAAATTGTACCTTTGGCAGAAATGGAAAGACAGAGACAGTGAAACCAACAAGAAACCGAGAGAAAAAAGCGATGAAGACGAAGACGAGGCGGCCATTGTAGGGTGACACAAAAGAATGGTTTCAAGTGAAGTGATAGGAAATTTACATTTATAAATATTGATCGGCAAAGAAGAGGAAATGGCGCCAGAATTAGAGGAAATGTCTTGTAAAAAGAGTGGGAAAGCATCATTAAGATAATTAATTACGTAGTCTTTACGGAAACAAGTCAAACAAAGAGGTAGTTAATTTATTTTGTTCGGAGAAATGATACTTGATTATAAATATAATGTATTATTTGTTCATTGTTTTTAATCTAATGCCTTGTTATATGCCAAAATAGAATATTCAAATTTTTTTATATCGAAATCGGATTCGAAATCATTTTAAAAATTGTTGAAATATATGTAGGACCTCAGATACTACCAACTCTTCAAAAAACATAGTGAAATGCCATTGTAGATGTTTTGTCATTTACAGCGTTAGCACTCATATTTAGAGGTAAAATTATTTTGCCATAAATCTCATGTTTTATTTGTATTTAAGAAACTTCTTAGTCCTTTTTTTTGTGTAATATAAGAAATGGAAATTCCATGTACTCTGTGACCTTTTTCTTCGGTAAATAAGTTTTACACTTTGACCTTAAGCGTGATATATTTTAAAACATACAAATAAAAAAATGAACATAAAATTTCACATAGAACACAAAACACCTATATGGCATTTCAATTCTTCTAGTTTTTTTTGTAATTTTTTTAGGATAGTTTATTTATTTATAATCGAAATATGAAATTTTGAGTATCAAATTTAGGGAAAATAAACTCTAAATATGAGATATAAGGATGACAATTCAGCAGAGATTGATGATCTTTACCGGCCTACTTGAGTTAAAAATATCTGAATCCAAACTGAATTCGATCTTTCACGACTAAATTGACGTTCATGTCATCCTATCTCAACTCATTGCCATCCTTCTTCTCCACAATTGATGAACTCTACATTCATTCCATCTCAAACCAGAGCCTCGGGCACGGTTGGTTGGGTTGAGTCATCGGGTTTTGAGGGATGTTCGGGCACACATCCAATCTAAAATCCGTTGGTCCAAATTCTAGCAATATTATCAAATTGAATTGAATTATTCTGTAAACCGATTTGAATAAGATTTAATTTGAATCGAATCTCACCCATTGTCATTCATATTGAAAAAAATAATGCAAAATCGAATCTGACCCATTCTCATTCATATTGAAAAAAGAATGTGAAAAGGGTACATTGCGGAAAAGCTTGGGGAAAAAAATGGATCAAAAAATTGCATAAGAGGACAAGTACTCGTGTGAAAAGATCTTCAAACTTTATTAATTGAGGCCCATTACTCAATGCAAATCCTATGTGACCCCTAATTTTAACCGGCCCAAATCTTAAATGCAAATATTACTCTGCACTTTTTTATACTTTCTTCGTTGAGTTAATGTTCGTTAGTCTCCCTAAGTACGCTCACGAGCTAATTTAGTTTTTGTAAGTTCAATTTAGTCAAATTTAGCCTTTGTAACTACAAAATGTGAATCAAATTAATCCTTTACACAAAATTTATCTTCTAAAATTCTAGGTTAACATATTAATTGACACAAAAATTAATACACGGGGTCATTGCTCTTGCTTCAATTAACATAGTAACTTAGAGTTTAAGGAGATTGAACCAAATTGAGTCGTGAGTGTACTTAGAGGGACAAAAATGAGTATTAACTCTTCTCTGTTAAAAATAATAATAATTATGTTACAATTTATGATACTTAATTAAGATTATTTCCAATTTATTTTATTCTCAAATTGATATAGAAATAAAAAATAACATGTTATTTGAGGGAAACAAAACTTCATTAATGCATAAAAAATGGTAACACATTAATGCATAAAAAAAATTTATATATTAATCAAAGACTACATTAAACGATTTATATAACAAGATGCAACATTATTATACTATTTTATCAAAAGAACCAATTAAAATAAGTAAAGAAAGATGATTTGGAATTTATTTTAAAGATATAAATAGTAAATGTAAAAATCATTTTAGAATGGAGGGAGTAAATGTCATTTCATTTTCATATCCCCACATTGTTTCACTTGACACTTTTAATATCGTGTGAATAGAAATGAAAACTTTTAACGAGAACTCTTTTAACATACTTTCGCTTTTACAAGAGACTCAATTATTCACATTTTTAATGTCCTACATAAATAGCATGTTTGGGAATAACTTAGAGATTACCATTAGCGTTTTAGATGAAATTTTAACTGTGCAGATTGTTTTGGAAACGCTAACACTAAACGTTGGCCGTAGATAGATTTTTCAAAACGATAACGCTAATCTTTAACGTTAATTCCCAAACAGACCCAAAATCAAAATTCCTGATTTGAAATCTACTTGAAGAATCGAACAAACATTAAAGATTCCCAATTTTTTCACTGCCCAAATGTAATCTATCAATAATGGTTTGCTTTATCATATCATTTTTAAAGTTAATATATACAATGCTCAAAAAATTTCAATGTTAATCGCAATTAAGTATTGTTTCCAAAAGGAAATTAAACCGTGAAGGAACTAGTTTGGGTGTGAACCAAATGATATGGAAATAGCTTTTATTTTTCTCACATTTGAAAAGAAAAAAATTAAAGAGATTGGGGAAGAAAAAAGATCTATTTTAAAAAAAAAAAATCATTAAAGCTTCCATATATAGCTTGAGTATCACGCAGTCTTGAGTAAATAAACGAATGCTACTCCGTATAATGGCAGATCTACAAAACAACCCTAATGATGTTTTTTTTTAAATTAATTACGTTTTTACTTTTTATGAGATCATATACAAACGTTTGGTATCGGAAAATATTATTTTGGATATAATTGTTTTATAAAACTCTTTGGATTTTCGTAAACAGAGTTTAAAGTTATGTAGATCCGTAGATGAAGAATTCATTGTCAAAGCATTGATATGGACGTTGCCTGCCTGGGTTGAACGATACATTCAAATGTTTGTTCTTAAATATTCGAATGTTTTGTGAAAAAATGCCATGATTATTTGTGCAGAATACCGCTGAACACAATGATTATTTATAACTGTGGCATACATGTGAATGTTCTGGATAAACATTCGTATATTTTGCATGAAGTTATGATATTTCGTCAACAGACACGTCTGGTGGAGGACTGGTGGTCTAAGTATATAGAGTCCCAAGGTATGTTTGAGGGTCAATACTCAATAGAACTTCCAAAGACCGGTCTTGTCCGCCCACATCAATTAGGTATGGGTATGTTCAAAGACCGGTCCTGTCCGCCCACATCAATCCTTTTCATCTTCTCTTACTCCAAACATACATCCACAATGATCCACCAATTCGGGGCCTCACACATTATTTGGGCCATCCGGTCTATTAATTAATTACCCATAGGCCCAATACCTATCATGCGGGAGAGGGTCTTCTTACCAATTGAAACAAGTGAAATTTGTCGTGAATAAGATTAAAACATAAGTTTTTTCTTAATGTAGGACATAAACTTTTTTATTTCCTAAATAAGATTTAATAATATCCAGTGAGAAAAATAATGTTCAAGTGATGCTGAACATTTAGTTGAATAAAGACTAATAGATAATGACCAAAGATCTTACATTGAAAAATAAAAACATATGGTCCTATATTGATAAAGTCATTATGTTTTAATTCTATTTAGGTAAATTACTCATGTCACTCCAGTGCCCTTGACCGTACCGATACTTCTTTTAGATCCGGTCAATCAGGGCATGGTAGGGGGTTTACACCTCCCGTTTAGGGGTTTAATTTATTTTACGTTTTATTTTAGTGCCATATCAATTAATGTTTCGGTACTATTTTGGAGCATTTCAAGTTAATTAAACAGCCAAAAAGACCAAAAAAAACATCTCGAAAAAAAAACATCGAATATAAATTTTTTTATTGAGATAAGAAAAAAACAAAGAGGTAAAGTGTGAACAAAAAAATAAAAATGACCAAGAAAGAAGACTCATCCTCAACTACTACATGCTCTCTAGCTCTAGCTAGCTATTACCTGCTGCCCTTTTGTTATTGGTCTATAAATGTAGAGACAAATCAAGCTTTTGACTCTTGCAATAATCTCCAAACCCATAACTATCCTCATTCTCATTATTGTTATTATTATTATTATCATCATCATAATGACTATAATAATTATTATAATTATGATTCACACTAAACCCATCACAATAATTAGCATTGTTGCACCTTTTATTATCCTTATTCTTCTCCCAACTCCCAAAAAAGCTGAAATGATGATGATCTTGGGCTTCTTGATCATACAAGTAAGGGTTGCTGTTCAAGCGGTAGTCGGGCTCGAACATCGGGCCGAACGTCCGGGCCGAGCGTTGGCCCGAGGAGGCAGAGTGGGGTGAGATGTAGAGGCCCAGATGGGGAAGAGGTGGGCCCAGATGATGATGATGGTGAAGGAGGAGGGAGTTTGCCCTAATGAATTTGCTCTTTCTTGCTGCAGCACTTCTCTCCTTCTTGTGTGCATTTTGGTGGCCACCCAAAGCTTGGGAGCTGTGGAACTTTCTAGAACAATACAGGCATGGGAATGACCTGCTTGATGCATCATCTTCTCCATTGTTGTGGTTGTGGTTTGGTGCTTTGTGGTTTTGGCTTTCCATTCCTCTTGTTGTGTTGTATGCTTCCATTGTTTTGGGTGTGTTGATGGGATATATGGCTTCTTGTTTTTGGGGGGTTTTATGTATATATGTAGGAAGAAAGGGTAGGGTGGGGGTATGGGAGAAGGGACAAGATTGTCTCCATTTAAATAATTAAGCTCTCTCTATCTCCATGTCTATCTCTCTATTAAAAAACCACTTAAATGCTATATACCACTTTTTTTAGAACACCACTTCATAAAGCTTAATAATAATAATAATAATAATAATAATAATAATAATAATAAGAAAAATGTGCACCGTTTACCCATAAACTCTTTGCAAATTACATGGTTTACCCTTGAATATTAAAAAATGCATTGTTTACATTTGAACTTTTTAGAAATTACACGATTCGTCCCTGAACATTAAAAAATGTACCAAATACCTCTGGGCAATTTAAAACGTTGCACTGTTGTCCCGCGCACGAGAATTGCGAGTATGATCCTACTTCTAACCATCACATCGATAGTATTTTTGGAAAATCACACAAAATATCTTTTAGGCTTTTTGAAAGTCAAAATGGAAACATCTTTTATGGGACCCGTTGAGTATCTATAGGTTTGGTCTTGGAATGATAGGGGCAGAGAAGGGAACAGAAGTTGAGGGAGTACTTACTTCAAGTTGGGCAGAAGGAGTTATGTTTGGCATCAGAAGAAAGTGTGTGTTCAGAGAGCTGCAGAGTCATGAGTTGTTGGGAAATGTGAATTAAAGATCAGATCACAGTTAATTTTAAAGGTTTTAATTATTTATACATTAGTCACAATTATATTCCGTGCAAGAATCTATGTATTTTAAGCCTCTTATTACATTATTAATTATTTAATTGGCACACTAAAAAAAACACAAAATGTATGTACTATGCACTTATGCAGTGAGTTCTACTCGATTCAAGCAGCTTTTTCAGCTTTGGAGCCAGCACCCTTATTCAAATATATACTCCTTTAAACAATAGAATAAGATTATTAGTCCTAAAAAAAAGATACATCAAGTTAGACTGTGGATCCAACACGAGTCGTGCAAGAGTAGTTCTCCCAAACATTTTGTCGATCACATGGTGTGCAATAACATCAATGAGACTTCAACAAAAATCAATTGAAGTTGAGATTGACCCGGAAAATAATCATCACTGAGCGGGTCCAATTTAAGTCACTTGCACCATTGTGGCTCCGCCGCGCTTACGACCTAGGGTCGAGGGCAGCGGTGCAGGCTAATAATGCTTTTATTAGAGCAGCGGCAGTGGCTGTTTGCCACGCCCTACCACATCATCCCATGTTTCCATTTGCCTTGCGTATCAAAGCTGTTTTGCCATGCTTCGCATGGCACCCGCGTTTTTTTGTTTTATTTTTTTGTACAAAAAAGAAGGTTTTTAAAAAAAGGGGTACATCTATTTTTTGGAAAAAATATAAATAAAATAGTTTTAATAATTAAAAAAATTTTAAAAAACTGTAAAAATAGATGAAAACAATTACTTACCATTGAATTGGAAGACATGTCACACGCTGATTCAACTGATTTTAATTAGTTAAAATATTCCACGTCACAGTGTGACATTCTATTTATTACTACCTCCGTTCCAGTGTATTTGTCCAGCTTGACTTTTTCGAGTCAAACTGAACAAACTTTGAATTCCAATTACTTTTAATTTATATTGCATATTAGCATAATACGGAGTAAAATACAATTTTAAAAGTTCTCAATACGATAAATCCAATAAAGTTATTTTTATGTTTAAATACATTACGATTTTTATTTAATTGAAGTTCAAAGTTTGTCCAGTTTAACTTGAAAAAGTCAAACTTAACAAATACACTAGGATGAAGAGGGTGTTTACTATTGCCCATGCTCTTATATTACCTCACAACAACTTCTAATAATTTCATTAAAGGTGCTTATTAAATAAGAGTAAATGTGAGGGTTTAGATTCATATTTGCGCCAAACTCCCACACCAACCCAAATATTTCTTGTGACGGTGTTCGACTTAACGAGTAAATTTTAAAAATAATTCTCTACCATGCAAAACATTTTTCGTATTCACCCCGTTAATCATTGTAAGGTATGATATATAAAAGGTTCGTCTCACTTAATAAAATATATTTTCTTCGTCTCCAAAAACTTTTCTTCTTTCTTTTTTTCATCCGTGTCAAAAATAATGAAAAAAATAAAAGCTATATGCAGAAATTTCTTATGGAGCTCAACAGCAGAGTATAAAAAAACACCAATGGTTTGTTGGGATGATATTTGTATGCAAAGAAGTTTTTAAATAATGGTCAAAAGTGACATGTTAGTGATCGATGAACTCTATTGATAATTATTAAGCCTCAAATTATCCACTCAAATTATTATCTGGACAAAAATTCTAACAAATTCTGAAAAGTAAAATAAAAAAGAAGCTTTTTTATTTTTAATGGGAAGGGCTAATATATTACTATTATATATTTAAGGGGAAAGAGGAAGATGGTGGGGGTGTGTATAGTATGGGGGGCTTGAATTGGGTTTGGGAAGAAATGCAGAAAAGATAAGGGGAGGAAATGATGAAATTAGATGCAAAGTATCTCTCCAATGCATTCAGTCTGACATTCAGTTCATCTATATGCGCTCTTGTTTCTATGGGCTCATCTCACCATACAAAGGGCCAAATCCAAATACCATAGTTGTCTCCAAGCCTCAATATCTCAACTTATTCTTATTAATTGTTACTTTTTTTATTAGAATCAGTTCAGATCAAATCAGATTAAGAATAGCTTTTAATATTTCTACATTCATATCAGATCAAAACTAATTCAATCATAGCAGAACTATTCAGATTAGGTGAATGTCATGTGCCATTCAACTTAGGGGCTCTTTGGCAACTTCTGAATCGGTAAGTGCTGAATCAGTAAGAGATCTGAACCATTAAGTGCTGAACTAGTATGAGGTCTGCACCATTAAGAGCTAGTATATTGCTTAACTATTCAGAAGCAAATGTCTGATCAATTCAGATAAGAGGTCTTAACCATTCAGACTCTGTATAATACGGAGTACTTAATCATTCAGAGGTAAATCTCTTAACCATTCAGACATCTGAACCATTAAGAGGCTGAAACAAACAGTCTGAACCATTAAGTGCTGAACCATTAAGAGGCTGAAACAAACAGCCTCTTACTCTTTTTACTTATTACTCCCTCCGTCCCGCTATATTCGTCCAGTTTTGACTTTTGGAACTGTTCATCTAAGCACTTTGACTCATCAAATTTTCTCAATGTGTAAGCCTAAATATAGTCATGTGTTATCTTGTTTGATTTGTTTTAACATATAGATTATTAATATATAATTTCTATAATTTTTTAATATACAAATTACAAGATAAAATGGATTAAAGAAGTGCATTGGATGATGTGTAAAAATGAAAGTGGACAAATACTCTGGGACGGAGGTAGTAATTGTTCTTATTAGAATCAGTTTAGATCAGACGAGAAACAACTTTAGTTATAATTAACTTTAGATCATATCAGATCAGAACTTATTTCAATTAAATCAGAACCATTCAGATCTGATAAATAGAACACGACATAAATCCCCGAGGCACCCTCCTTCTTTTCTCATATTTTTCTTTCACTTTAATTGTTCACGATGTCCAAATATAACATTTTAACCACTAATATCTTTTATTTGCGTATAGACGTAATTCCTTCGTCCCATAGAATCCTTCCTTTTTGAAAAAGGACGCACCTTTAAAATAAATAATTTTAGTGTTACTCATTTTAAAGCATGTCGTTTTTCAAGCATGAAGGATTTTATGGGACGGAGGGAATAAAAATTTGATTTTTCAGAACTACATTCCAAAATGAACCAATTGGAAATAAATTTATATACCAATTTAATATATATATATATATATATATATATATATATATATATATAAACACACACACACACACACATATATATGGGTTGGTTCAGGTGAGAATGCACCTTGGTGAAAGAAATAAGAATAAAATCTAGCCTTTGGATCTGATGCATCGTGCGGCTCAGATTGCATCCTGCACTCAGATTTTGAGATAGTGCATTTTCAAAGGATTTTGGTGCATTTCGACATGATGCATTTTCAAACCATTTTGGTGCACCTAATTTTGATGCAATCCTGACCCTTACATCTCACAATCTAAAACACCATATTCATTTTTATTTCTTTCATAAGATTGCATTTTCACCCGAACACACACAGATATATATATATATATATATATATATATATATATATATATATATATATATATATATATATATATATATATATATATATATATATATATATATATATATATATATATATATATATATATATATATATATATATATATATATATATATATATATATATATAT